ACTACAGTCGAGGAGGCTACTTTAATGTTATTGGTACAGAGACCGTAAGTCTCTGTACCAATAACATAGATCTTTGAGTCTTTATAATAATAATAGAAATGATAACAATAATAATAAATTATTAATATAATATTGATCTACATCACTTTTGAGGTTTATTAAGTTATATCTTTTACAGACAAAAGTTAAATTAACCTCGTTGATAGCAAGACTATTAATAAAGCCTTAAATAAATTGACTTTTTTAACTTCTATTCTTTCATTTTTTTTTTAATTTTTTTTTTTTTTTTTTTTTTTGTAATTCATCTCCTCAAGGCCGAGAAGGCTGCTACAGATGAGGAGGCTACTTGTGGTTATAACCCTCTCTCAACTCTTTAACTTTGAAACACAAACATTGACGAACCTAGCTGCTTTGCGGAGAAACAAGTTGAGCGCGGTACTACCAGGGACATGGTGGAAATGGAACTCGGAACCTCTCGCTTATGAAACAAGGGCTTTACCACTACACCACTACCACAAAACAAACTTTCATTTGTATACAATTTTTCAATTGTATACATATATACAATTATAAACAAAATTTAAAGTATAAACTATACAATTTATCAACAAACTCTTATGGTACCAAATTAAAAAAATTATGATACCGACTTCAGCCCAATATAATTTATGGTACTAATTTAAATACATTATGGTACAAACTTAAACACAATATAATTTTATGGTACCAATTTATCAGCTAAAAACGTTTGTTAATTTGGAATATTTAAAAATGGACCAGAGCATCATTAAAAAATTCTTTATTGAAGTGGAACTTGTTGAAGTGGAACTTGGTAATTCCCTCAACACCATAACACTATTTATACATTTGTATAAAATCACCGCTTATTTTTGTTGTTGTTTTAATTGTGTTAATTTCAATGCTTTTATTCATTTATAATATGATACATGGCATAACTCATGTACTAATTTTCTTACATCTTTTTTTTTAATATTTTCTAACATTTTTGTCATGATTATTTTCTTATATGTTCATAATATGATACATGGCATAACTCATGTACTAATTTTCTTACATCTTTTTTTTTAATATTTTCTAAAATTTATGTCATGATTATTTTCTTATATATTTATATTTCTTTTAAGATATCGAATCTTTATTATTTCTATTCAACAATTTTATAAACTCTGCACCTTTATACTTAAACAATTTGTATATTGTACTAAACTTACGAATTGCAATGAAAGATGTATTTTTCCTATTTTAAATCGTTTATTATATAAACGATTTCAAATATTTTATTCTTCAAAATTTCAAATATTTTATTCTTCAAAAACTTGATATTTTTCAGACTTTAAAACAATATGAAGTATATCAATTAATTTACAATTTGAATTACCTACGAAATAATAAAGCTAATGGAAAAAAAGAATTTACGCATGTAGGAGAACTTAGAGTCGATTGAGTTATTAAAATTTACTAAAATTGTACAGCTTATAATGTAATCAACCTTCAAGCTACTAAAACAAACTCTTTTCTAACGTCAATAATGGTTTCACAAACATCAGTAATGGTTTCACAGATTTCAATGCTTATTGCTTATTGTGCATTTTTTTAATCTTGTCTGTTACATTTTTGCAAATCAAATTTTGTCTTTAGATTTCAACATCGGATCTGATTTCTAATTTGATTTTTAGAGAGTTTAATGTCTTTTTAATTGGAGTGTAATGATTACATACCACCTTATTTTAAAAAATCAGTTCATCAAACATTTCTAGTGCATTTTTATTACTAAACGATTGTATCAATATTTGAAATTAGATCAGATATGAGTTCAAAATCGGAGTTAACAAATATAAAACTTTGCTAGCTTTTATTGTCATATTATTAGATGGCCTATGTTTATGCTTCCCAAAACAAATTTTGAATCTATTTTATAAACACTTACTAACTGAGTTGTTAAGACCAAGTTAAGGTATTCACAAGTTGTTCATCTCACAGCTGAAAAGTTGGTATGTTGATATGCTAATAAAGAAAATCATCAATTAAAGTATCTGTAAATGTATATTTAATTCCATTCTTATTTGAAATTGCATTAACACAGCCATTTGACTAGCTAATTGATGAGATATTGAAGCCACCCATGATCAGTAAGTCTTTGAACTTATTTTTGTCTATATATATTTGCGTGCCAGGCCAAAAACCACATCAAATTCTGCCATATCTAAAAAATCATTTGGCCTGTACATACATCCAAGCAAATACTTGTCATTATCAAAATAAACAACTGCCCAAACTAGTTCTAGTTTACAAAGATTTAGAAGAGCATCATTTAGTTCATAGGATTCTAATGAATTATCTATATATAAACAAACACCACCGCCTTTTCATCAAACTAATCTGTCTTTTCTATACAGATGGTAATTTTCAATGTGTTTCACAACTGAATCATTTTTAAACCATATCTCTGTCATATAAGTTACAATTGATTTGTATTATTCAATTACCACTTTGAACTTATTTATATTGTTATCGAGAGAGGTAGCATTTAGGTATAAACATGACAGCTTTTTAATTTCATTACCATCTGACACCGATCTGTGTAGAAATTTATTGACTTGATTTTTTTTTAATTTGATGATTTTATTGCCACAGATGCATAACAAAAGAGGTCAAACTGTTTTAATATATCTTTTACTAATGTTCATGGTCTTGAACATTAGTAAAAGATATATTAAATTCAATCTTCCATCAGTTGAATCTTACCTCTTGCAAATTTTGCCAGAATTGCTTGCTTTTAGTGAGACTAATTTAAATTTTGCTATTTCTTTTTCTGATATCTGATGTTGATGGGTACTATCCTTTGATTTGCAAAGACTCCAATAGTCACATGTTGTGAAATCAGGTTCAAATCCTTTGACTATTTTTTTATGTGCTTTTGCTTAGCACCTATTCACTCTATCACCTTTCTCTTTGTTCTTTATCATTTTAGTAAACTCTAAGGCTGCGCTCTTTCAGATGTAATTTCTGATCAAAATTACCATATCATTTTACCCCTCTGCCAATATTGTTGTTATTGGTGACTTTAATACTCATTTCACTGAATCACTTGGCTCTAACGCCACTGACCCTGCTTGCATTAAAGCCTATAATTTCAGCATTTCTCAATCTCTTACTCAGATAGTTAACTTTGTGACTTGTTTTCCTGACAACCATAACTATTTACCTTCACTCCTTAGTTTATGTCTGGTTTCTCCTTTTTCTCTTTAAGGTGGTTCTGACCATGCAAAGATCTCTTTTCATCTCGTACTTCCTTTTCCGACTCATCCTATCATCGAACTACTTACTGCTAGCCTAAAGCTGACTGGGGTTCTTGCTACAATTTTCTTAGTGACTGTTTTTGGGCTTATATCTTTTACCTATCAGCTAAAAAATGTGTCTCCTTGGTAACCTTCTGTATTCAGACAGATTTCGGCTTAGAACAGGCAACCGATTTCGAATCTAATCTCAATTCTGTAACAGATGTGCTCACAGTGGCTTGTAAATTTGACCCTAACTAAACTCAGTTATTTACTGAAAATAACTGTAATTTTTGTAAATTTTGACCATAACTAAACTCAGTTATTTACTGAAAATCACAATACTATCAATATTTCTATATTAATGAATGGCAACCTTCGCACTGAGTCCTTCTTTATATCTTCTTGTATTATCCTTTACTACTGACCTTTCATGGAAACCATATATACAATAGATTGCTAAACTAGCATCTGCTAAGGTTGCTTCTCTTTATTGTGCTCGCCATTTTCTTTGATTCCATTCCCTACCTCTACAAATCTTTTATTCGCCCGTGTATGGAATACTGTTGTCATATTTGGGCTGGTTCTTTTAATAATGCTCTTTCATTTCTAGAGTCTTTCTAAGGTCCAAAAACACATTGTAAATGTAGTTGGACCCGCTCTATCTGCTAACCTTGAGCCTCTTTCCCATTGTCATTAAGATACATCTCTTTCTACAAATACTATTATGGTCGCTGCTTAAAAAAGCTATTATCTCTAGTTCGATCAATTAAAACTCATTTTCGCTTGACTCATCATTCACCAAAGTTTCATACTTTTACTGTATCTGTCTCTGCATGCTCTAAAAACTTTAATTTGTCTAGTTTTTTCCCCTACACTTCAACCCTTCGGAACTCTTTCCCATCTTCATGTTTTCCTGACTCATACAACCTTCAACTTTTTAACTCTTCTGTCAACCGTTTGATTGCTCTTTAACTCTATTCTTTTTTTCTAGTAAATCCCAAATTTGTTTGCAAATAGTTTTGATGGATTTGAATCAGAATAAAAAAAAAATTATAAAAAAAAGAATGCTTTTGTTACTTTTAAGTCTTCAGTCAATTGTTTCCTCTTTATTTATTTATTTTATTTCCTAGTAATCATAATAGCTTGCATACTCTAAACGATTGTCTGCAGCCTGTTTAAAGCAAACTTGTTTTTCAAGAGAAAATACAAATCTACAAAATTTTTCCAAGCAATTTTTTAGTAGTTTTTTTATATTAAAATCTTTTTTATCTCAAATTGAAATAAATAAACTTAGAGTGCCTATCATAGTTCTCTAGTCTTTATAATTTCATATTTACGACAGCTAACTACATATTATTATTAGCAGTCAAGAATATTTAAAACTTTATCTACAGTAGAAGCTATTGCTATATTTTTCAAATGTACGTGTGTTTGACATTTATAAAGTATTCAGTTCAAAATTTCTAATCCTAATGTCAACCAAACACTGGGGTTAGAAGTTTTAGCATTAAAACTAAATAAAAAATCTTGTTTCATTTAGTTTTAAAATGTAGCTATATTCTCTGGATATAGAGTATATTTTTTGATAAACTTAAATAAAATGTGAGTTAGGACTAAGACAAGACATATATAACGAGAATAATAGTCCTTTTATAGAGTTTTTACTACAAAACAAAGTTCAGTAACAAAATCACTTACTTATCTTTAAATGGCTCAATTGTTGTTTCAAATATTGCATAAACAGGTCTATAAAATTAAAAAAAAAATACATTGATATTAAAAGCTATAGTTTAAAAATTAATTAATCACAAAAAATAATACAAAAAAAATAGAAAAGGATATATACTTGCATATAAGTATAAATATATATATCAGGGGCTATTCTAGACCAATTTCGACAGCGTCAACCGTATTTGGGTCCCGATTTGGGCACTGCCCAAATTAAAATTTGAGGACTTTTTTTTTATGCTTTTTTTTATGTTTTTACGGCAAATATCGCAAAAAAAACGCCCAAATTTCTCTCCTAGATTAGGTCCTGTGTATATATATATATATATATATATGTATATATATATATATATATATATATATATATATATATATATATATATATATATATATATATATATATATATACATATATATATACATACATATATATATATATATATTTATATATATATATATTAGGGTGGTTCAAAAAACAACATTTTTGAAAAAAATTCTGCTCCTACCCCCTAAATGTGTTTTATTTAATACAAAAACACTAGGTTTAATTTTTTTTTGAATAAAAAATATTTTTAGGGGTGCCGCCAGACCCTTGAATATTTACCGGGTCCCTAATATTTTCAAAAAAAAAGTTTCTCAAAAATAGGTCAACCTGGTACTCAAATGAAGTGAAATTATATAAAAATTTCAAAAATAATATTCATTTAAATAAAATATTGTTATGTTAAGTTTTATTACATAAAAAATCATGATTTTTAGCAAAAAATAAAAAAAGTGAATTTTGCATGATAATTTTGATTAATAAGTTTAAACATCAATTTATTTTTCAAAATGAATATTATTTTTGAAATTTTTATATAATTTCACTTCATTTGAGTACCAGGTTGACCTATTTTTGAGAAACTTTTTTTTTGAAAATATTCGAGGGTCTGGCGACACCCCTAAAAATATTTTTTATTCAAAAAAAATTAAACCTAGTGTTTTTGTATTAAATAGAACACATTTAGGGGATAGAAGCAGAATTTTTTCAAAAATGTTGTTTTTTGAACCACCCTAATATATATATATATATATATATATATATATATATATATATATATATATATATATATATATATATATATATATATATATATATATATATATATATATATATATATATATATATATATATATATATATATATAAATATATATATAAATATATATATATATATATATATATATATAATATATATATATATATATATATATGTATATATAAATTTTATTGTGCAACTAATAATTCTAATTCTATATAAATTCTGAAATAATTCTAACCATAATTATTTCTTTTATCTTTTCCTCAATCATCCATTTATAATTGCAAAAAATTAATACAAAAAAGTATTGTCTGGCATTAAGGTCCATTAATCTCAGAATACTAAATTTCATGCTTGACTACAGAGTTAAGGTTTTAAAGACTTTTGGAAAACCTTTAACAGTGTTATTAACAAAGACAAGCCTGAAACTCCATCTCAGATACACGTGTCTCAACTTATTAACTCTCCATCTTACCTAATCTTATTACCTCTCCTAAGGATTAAACAGAGCATAGAACATTTAATCTCCTATACATGGGTCTGATCTTATTACCTCTAAAATATTTAAAATTTTACCTCTAATATATTCAAAAAATATTTCTGTCACAATCTTATTAATGTGCTCTCGAGAACCTTTGTGCAGAACTTTTTTCATTATTCTCTCAACTATAAACAAGTGCTTAACCAAACCTTGTTTCCTAACTTGCTTAATCAAACCTTGTTTCTTACCTTACTTAATCAAACCTTGTTTCCTACCTGTTGAAAAATAGCATCTGTGGTTCCATTTTATAAAAACTCTGGTACTGCAGTGACCCTTCTAAATATTGCCCAATCAGTCTTCTCTAAAGGCTCAAAGACTAATATCATTGATATTAGCCTTTAAATCTTTAATTAACAAACTTCTAATATTTCATCATGATTAACAACATTACTAACAACTTATTTAACAAACTTCTTATTCTTGAGTCTAACATATTTGTGACAAATATACAATTGAATTGAACTGCTGACTCCTTAACTGTAATAACAGAAAAGTTTAATATCAGCAAGACAACAGAACATTAGACGGAACCAGTGAGACAAGAACAGTACATAAGATGGAAATGGTGAGACAAGGACAGAGTTTTGTACATTCTGTTGATTGACATTAAACATAACATTTAATTCCCAATAACTCGAACCTCCAAAGGACCAAAGAATTCCTGTTTTAGACTAATATGAGATATTAGTTCAAATTAAGTCAATTTTTCTTTATTCAATGCTATAGTATATACATTAAATTTACACTATTATACTAATGTTTCAATAAAAGAAGTTACAGATTGTATTCATGCAGTACAGTCAAAAGAAAACATTTGAAAAAGTCTAGCGACACAATGACTTCCTTATTATTTGGTAATAAAATTGTGTCTAAAAGGAAGTGGTCTATTATTTAGAAATTCATTAAATTAATTTTTTTTTTTTGACCGTTTTAACATTATTCATTTTTTAACAGTTTTATTATAGCATTATTTTACATCTGATGACAAACTATTCTATTCAGATCTAATTACAAAGAAAGAAAAAAGAAAATATTAGGAGAGAGTGGGCAATGGTGAACGCGAGGTAATTTTGAACATGGTCAAAACAGCATTAAAAATATATATATTTGACAATTTATTTTTACCTGCTGAGAAGGAATCCCATGCTTAGTTCCTTGTATAGTGTAATAAAGCAGCAATTGTTGTTTACGATAATTTGGTTCTAACTTTTTCTGATAATTTCATACAACTTTTTTCTTGAATAACATTTCTATTGTAGCTACTATAGATATAAAACCACTTCTTTTGTTGTCATTGTTGCATAGTATAATTTTTGCACTTAATTATTACAATAAGCAATTAATTTGTTATTACACAACAGTGTTTGTGATTAAGCATGGTGTGTTCAGAATTACCCCACAAACGTATGGTAATTCTAAACACAAATAGTTTTACTTTTGCCCTAAATTCTTATTTTATAATATGATTTATGAAAATTGCTTTTGAGGGTTTGCGACTGAAAAGTTAGACTAATTGATAAGCAATAAATATCATCAACTTCCTATAACTGGTGTCTTTTTTTTCGCATAACTGCTTAGCTGTTTGCCATTACCCCACTCTCCCCTAAACTACAGTTATTTATGTTTTACATAGAATGACTTTTTTCTTCAAACAAAAAGTTTTCAGAAAAAATTTGCTGAAGGGGGACAAAAAAATTGTTCAACTTAAAAAAATTTGAGTTATCAAAGGTTCGACTTAACTGGATAATTAAAATATTATCTGACTAGACGATATCAAGGGACTAAATGAAACAGTTCAAGATTATAAAAGTTTGAGTTAACTGGTGTTGCATTTACCAAGAATCTATTGTATTATTAAAAAAATTTATAAATTATAAAACCTAAAAGACTTACTTGTGATCAGATACTTTGATTAGACTGCACGAATTATAGACTACTGATACTAATTCACTAGGTGGTTTTGATTTATAAACAATACGATCCTGATAAATAAAAAGTCTTTTTAAAATTGATGAAACTTTGAATAACTTGAGTAGTTCAACAGAAATTTGATTCAAAAATATTTTAAAACATTTCACACAAAATAAAAAAACACTTACAGTCCAAGAAGGAACTCTTTTTTTAGAAGAAGTATCATAGTTGTCTGTATTGTCATCAAACTTATATGTTGGCATAAAATTTATAGGTGCTTCTATAAAATCATGAAATATTTGACCTTTTTTACAAAGACTTAAGAGCTGATCATACTTAAGAAGTTCATTAATCAATAAAGATTGGTTGCCAGCACAAAGATTAAATATCTCATCGACAACTTTTCTTGTTTTTGTTAAGCGAAAGTTAAAGTCTCCAAACCAAAAAACTCTATCAAAATGATCTGTAAAATTTTCTGAAAATAAAGAAAAAATAAAGAAAATTTGTTCTTTAAATAAAAACTTTCAGTTTTAATTAAAATAATTAAAAAAAAAAACAAATAGGAAAAGCTGAAATCGCTTACTTGTGTCAACACTTGTGTCTGCATTATGCCATGGTAATTGAATACTTGAACAAATTTTTTTATAATCATTAATACGTTCTGTTAATTTTTCAGTGTCGGCTAAACAAATTTTATGAAAAAATTATTCTGATAAACTACATGTAATTAAAATAAAACATCACACAGAAGAAACATCAAAAACTAGACATCAACTTTAATAAAAGAAACAAGTATTAAAAACAACTTTGAACTTACATGCAAAATGAGAAGTTATAAAAAGTAAAGATGTTCCAAAAATATTAAAACTCATGGCTATGGCACCCTAAAAAACATAAAAAAATAATAAAAAATATATAATAAAGTAAACTAAATAATAAAATTTTATACCCATTATCTAACTTATGTCATTTTATCCATGAGAAAGAAAGTTGCATTTTGAATTTAGACATTAAAAAGTATTTGTATTTATTAACACGTTCATGTCGACGTGTATCACCGGTGGTACACACTAGACTGTCTCATTGGGCAGCGTGTAACACTGGTGGTACACACTAGACTGTCTCATTGGGCGGCGTGTACCACCGGTGGTACACGCTGCCCAATGAGACAGTCTAGTGTGTACCACCAGTAGTACACGCTGCCCAATGAGACAGTCTAGTGTGTACCACCGGTGGTACATGCCGGCGTGAACGTGTTACTCATTAATTTTATTAGTAGCAAACTGCTTAAGATCACATAGCATATTGAATACCCAAGTGATTAAATAATTATACTTATTTATCATTGTATTTATACAATATAAATACAATAATATAATATATAGTCATACTTATATAAACATCTTATGTAATGATATACAACAAATTATAATCAATTTTTAGAAAAAAATTTTAAGAAAAATTTATATTTAAACAGCTATTATTATAAGAAAAAAAGTGATATGATGATTACTAATATCATCATCTAGAAAAAACTTTAATATTTAAAATGTTAATAAATATTTGCATAATAAATAAATTAAATATAAAAATAATAATATATTTACAATAAAAATTGTTGAATAAAAATAATGCATATGAAACTTTTAAATATAAATAAAAATGAAACTTTTTACAAAAAAGATACAAACATAGAAAAATGAGCTTGATGGTATTTCTGCATCATAATTGACATCACTTGAATCATTATCACTTGAGATCGCTTTTTTTTTTAATTTTGTTTAAAAAATAAATCACTCCTTATTTAACAACTGAATTTGATATTGTACCAATCCCAACAACAGTTGTTATAAGTGTTGTGTGTAGATGTGATATATGTTAAGAAATGTTAGATAAGAACTTGCTAGTAACAATAATAGATTAACAATGATAGATAATAAAGTGGTAGAATGCTTGCCTAAGAGAGAAGTTCAGAATTTGATTCCCACATGTCCATGGTAGTACCACGCTGAACTTGAATTTCACATGAATTTCGCTATCACCTTTAAGTAGTGTGTAGTACTTACAGAGAGGTGCGCCTCTTACACCTCTCTGAAAGTAACTTGTTTCTACTGTGCTTTTTTGTTCTACTGCCTTCTTTATTATGTTTTGTAATTCTGAGCTTCAGGAATGTATGAGGGGTATAATTTTTTTATTTGAGTAGACTCATTAACTATTGATAAAATGCATCATAAAAGTGTACAAAATTTGATATTTAAAATTTAAAATCATTATTTTATATTGGTCATTATTGTAAAAAAACTCATTACAACATTATTTTAAAAAAATGTTGAGTTAAATATATAAGCTCAATTTTAATCCAAGTTAAATAAAGCTCTCACTTTAAACCAACATAAATACCTTGGCACATAATACTCAGCCCTCGGAATTAGAAAAATGAGGTAGGCAAAATTTTGCCAACCTTAATCTGCTAAAGGTCAATATCAAGTCAGCAAAAAAAATTTGATACAAAAACCATAACCATAAAAATAGTAATGAGGTCGGCCCTAATTCCGAGGATTGTAAAATCAAATTCTGCACATTAGCAGATTCTGCAAGTTTGAAATTAAAAATTATTTATCATACTTTTGTTTTAATCTTGTGTGCTACTCTTGTAGCAACTGTATCTTGATCGACAGCTAAAAATAAATAAATAAAAGTTATTTTGTATATAGTAATATAAATTTTTTACAGTTTATTACCATAATTCTTTATGTTTAGAAAATAAAAATAAAGGATGACCAAAAGAATTAAATGTAATGAAAAAATATTGTTTAACTATTTAACTTTAAACACAAAAACATACAGAAAATAATAAAGGATGACCAAAAGAATTAAATGTAATGAAAAAATATTGTTCAACTATTTAACTTTAAACACAAAAACATACAGAAAATTCGAACTGAATTATTAAAGCAAAAGATTTTAAATTGAAACCTATTCATTATATTTTCGAAACTTTGATAAAAAGGTTATACATGATTAAGGGTAATCTATCGAAAGGTTTTAATGATTAAGGGTAATCTATCGAATGTTGCTTTTTAAAAATAGTATTTAAGATTATGAAAAACTTTTTTATGAAAATTTTTCAATAAAAATATTCAATAACTATACAATTTTCAATAAATTTCATAATTTCAGATTGCAATAATTTGTAAATAAATGGAAAAATATTCTAATAAAATCATTTATATGGCTCTACTAAATAAACCAAGATTGATAAATATCAATTAATTCTTTGTTCAAGAAAAATCGCGTCTCCAATCATCTTAGTGCTATGATATATGGCAGTAAAACATGGCAATTAGGATTGATGATGCCCAGCATTTTAAAAGAACAGAAAAGATGATAATTAGATTGATGTATGTTGTGACTTTAAAAAATAGTTTAAAAAATAACTCTTAGATAGAGATTGGGAATGATTTGAAGCATGCAGTACATGAAAATCTAGATGATTGAGCATTAGCATGAGAAAGAAAATAGTTTCATAAGAATAAGATAAAAGTAAAAAACTTTTAACTTTAAAACTTCATTAATGTCTAGTAACACATCAGTAAACTTTTGAGTACTAATGTTTCTTTTTTCTGAGAAATTAACCATATTACTGAAAAAATCAAAACTAATCAAAATTAAAAATCAAGTACAAACTTAATGAAGAGAACATCAACAAAGCTATGAATAAATGTTTCAAGTATGTATAAATTTATTTCAAGCATAAATATATATGTTTATGGCAAAGATTGTATCAACAGTAGCTTTTTTGTTTTTCTTTTAATACCTGCCTTTATTTCGGATGAGTCACCAGTTTCTGTGATTCATCCAAAATTTTTACCAAAAGGTGTTAAAAACAAAAGGAGCAAAAAAAAAAATCTCTGATAAACGGTGTAAGATCCATGTT